GTCTCTAGAAGTTTACTGTCTGCGATACATCAAGTCTGTTCAAAATTATTACTGGACAAAATGAGATTGTTACGGAAGTACAACTGCGTCTCGATTCTTAAGCCGGAAGCACATAGAAAAACGTAAGATGTAATCAGTAAAGAAATCGTAACATTGGATTTGCTACTGGCATTACCGTCTCTACTGTGATTGGCCAATTCGCTTACTACTTACATGTTACGGCCTTACGTTCTTATATGTGCCATGGGCTTTACTAGAGTAACTGTATGGATGGCCATCTTTATCTTTGTCTAATATTGCGTGCGCATCGAACTTTAAAAGCTGAGTGGGGTAGTATCGGTTGCGTTTAGCAGAGAAAATCACTCACTGAGTAAAAAAAGGTATTAATCTATGATTAATATGTTTATTTATTATAATTCGTAATGTAGAATAACTTGTCTATTATAAATAATCTTTAATATCATATTTCTTTCGTATTTATTACTATTTATTATTTCTTTAATGCCGTATTTAGGCCGTAAGGTTATGTAACGCTCAATGAGTAGTGGAGCGACTTATAATTACGACCCATCCTTAGGCTCTGCGCACAATGGAGTAAATATTAGAAATAGGAATAAATATTAAGTCAATCAGAAAATTCCGTCTGTTTTTTTGCAAAAAGTATAGTTTTATTTAAAAAACAAAATGAAAAAGTAAATGAATGAAAATATTGTCCATCGGTGACTTTTTCCCATCTTTCGGGCAGTAAGCGAATTCCGCGGCGAAAGAATAATTCATCTTTGGAGGGGCTATCCACTCAGAGACCTATTTTTCGACGTCTTCATAAGAATTGAAATATTTCTCTGCAAGTGCGTGTGCCATTGATCGAAACAAGTGATAGGACGGAAAGGGCACAGTCTGGTGAATAAGCCGCATGGAGTAGCACTTCCCAGCGAAATGCTTCTAACTTTTTCTTGACAAGTTTCATGACATGAAGCCGAGCGTTGTCATGAAGCAGAATCTTTATGCTGTCTCGTTTCATATTCTGGTCGTTTTTCCTGCAATGCTCGGCTCAAACGGATAATTTGTTCTCGATAGAGATCCTCTGTGACTGTTTGACCAGATTTCAACAGCTTGTGGTACACTACACCCTTCTGATCCCACCAAATACAGAGCATTGCCTTCTTTTCGTAAATATTCCGCTTTGGCACCGATGTCGATGGTTGGCCTGGATCACAAATGATTTTTCGGCGTTTGGGGTTATCGAAATAGATCCACTTTTCATCGCCAGTTACAATTCGGTGCAAAAACCTCTTTCTTTTTGCCTAGCAACCAGAATTTCGCAGATGATTTTTCGCCTTTCAATGTCTCTTGGCTTCAGTTCATATGGGACCCATTTTTCTTCCTTGTAGATCTTTCACAAAGCTTTAAACGATTGGAAATAACAGATTGAACACAATTTAATGCTTCTGCAAATTGTTTTTGCGTTTGACATGGGTCTTCATCCACCAATGCCTGCAATTCTTCGTCTTCAAATGCTGTTGGCCGTCCAGAACGCTCTTTGTCCTCCACATTAAAATCACCACTTTTAAAGTGTCGAAATTATTTTCTACATGTTTTATCGAAAGGAGCACTATCACCATAAATTTCTATCACAAGCATTCGATGAGCTTCAGCTGCAGTTTTCTTCCATTTGAAGCAAAAGGTTAACACTTCGCGCAAATGACGCTTATTTGGCTCAAATGTCGACATTTTCGATGTAGTAAAAAGCAATGTTATTGATGCAAATACTTGTATATACTGAATTTTATTGACAGATAATAAAACTAAAAAATTAAGCTTTGTTTAAATATTAGAGTTATTGACAGTTTTAGCTACAGCTATGGTATTCGCCGCTAAACGGACGGAACTTTCTGATTGACCTAATATTAAGATTTCAATCTATTAGAAATTGTGAATTCCGGTGTAATTGATATCTGGTAGATTGAAATCTTAATATTTATTCCTGTTCTCAATATTTGTTCTATTGTGCGCAGGCCCTTAGAATACCGAAAGAGCCATACCACAGTATATACAGTAGTGCAACTCTCCTGATTTTATGTTGGCCAACCCAATCCAAAATGGAGTGCGTATGCGTGAAATAAGTAAGTTGCGCCGTCTCTTTTCCTTCCCTTTTTTATTGTTCTCTTTTTTCTCTTTCTATTTAAATAAGCGTTTCAATGTCCATTCAAGCATTTGTTTTTCAAGCATACATGGTTCAGAGTAAAAATTTAGAGGAAAATATTATGTGTACTATCCATTGGGTGAAATGTGTGAGAAATCTCGAGAGATTGGTCTAATTTTTGTGAAAAAGTGATAAAGTGAAAAAGTGAACAAAAAGTAATATAGAAAATCGAGCAAAAAGGATTTCTTTTTATTTATTGTATTTTAAATTTATCTTTTGGACATATATGTATAGAGATATAAATTTCTTTTATATCTCTCAGCTTTTTCATAACATTTTCATAGATATATAATTACATAATATTTTTTACAAATATACATTTTTAAGTGAATTTAATATTTTTCCTAATTTTTCTATATTTTTTCTTTATTTTTCAATATATTTACAATTTATTTTTATTAATTTTTATAAAGTTTAAATTATCGCAATATTAAGTTTATTCGCCTCGCATGCTCTAATATGCTCCAATATGTTCCTACAATAGCACTTACTCATTTCAACGAATTTTTTGGATTGCGATGCGAATAAATCTAGTGAATTTTGCGAGGAATTTTGACAGAGTGAAAAAAGGATGAAAAGAGAAAGAAGTTTAGGTAGTAACCGTGGCAATGCTAGGTAACGTACTTATTTCATGCATGCGCACTCCATTTTGGCCAACACTAACATTAAAGGTGCCGACAGAGAGTTGTGCTACTGTATATACTGTGGCCATACTATTGTATATTTGATCAATGTAATAAAAACTTCAACATGTCTCCAACATTTATTTGTTTTTAGATTTGTTTTCCCTATATATCCTAAGAAAAGTGGACGTTGCTATGTAGTTTACATCCACTTTATCAGAGAACAGTAGTGCGCGGCAGTATTTTGCGGTTACAGGTTTTGGACCGTCATGTCTTCTCTCAGGTTTCTCTCTGTATTATGTATTCAAGACCATCTTAAGTACAATCTTAAGAAATCACGAACCAATCAGAGGACCGTATTAGCGTCTTAAGACATTACTTAAGACAATCTTGAAATAAGAACTATGGGCGGTATTCATATTCGAGTTCAAGTCAGTACTTAAGACTGTCTTGGCGAAGATCGGCTCCGGCACACCAATGCGATGTTCGTCGCATGCGACACGCGATATCGAATGAGAGTATATACCTTTAGAATAAAAACATCAGTAAAGCTGTACACTCATATCGCGTGTTGCATGCGACAAATATCATGCAAGGCTCCTATTCTCGAAAAATATCGCATACGAAAAACTAGGGAAATACTATAGTATGCGTTACATGTACTATAACATTTCTCTAATTCTCTAATATTTTTCAAAAATAGGGTCCCTGGTCGGCATAAAAAGGTTTGTCCGCGTCTCACGCTCTAACATGCTCAACGCGCTCCAATACGTTTGCATCACTGGAACCAATATGGTTACTAGATGTCGCGTCGCGTTATGACTCCGGCACACCAACGCGATGTTAGTCGCGCGTGACACGCGATATCCAATGACAGTATACCTTTAGAATGAGAATATCGGTAAAGCTGTACACTCATTGGATATTGCGTGTCGCACGCGAACATCGCGCTGGTGTGCTGGAGGCATTAGAACATACTCCATGGATCAATTAAAGGTAAAATCACACGGAAAAGGGCTGCAGAATAGAGAATGCGTTATTGAAACAATCAACCAGCGCTATTCTGCACTTTTCCATCACGCAAGTTTTGTGTCCCATGTTCACATGATGCGTCAAAGATGTATCCAGCATGAATATAATTTAAAAACTACTAATGAATTTAGACGATCTTGGCGAAGAAGTTCTTGCTTACGTTGTTCTTATTTAAAATAAGATCACTTTCGCGAAGTTATGTTTAAGGAAATGCTTATTTATGAATCAGCTATTTAGGTGATACTTCCTATGAATCCTTTAATGGGAACATTGCATACATTGAGTTAAACGGAACAAACCTAATATATTATTGCGTTCTGTTACATCGTATACTATCTTGGATTATCGAAAATTACCCATTGATTAGTATTTTCCTTCATCAAGAACTAAAAAAAATACTAAAGGTATGAAATGTTAATTAGAGAACGAAAATTGCTAGTTTTTATAAAATTATTTACTAAAATCAGCAAATTCAAGTACTGTATTTATTATCATAACCTCAACGGTAGACTCGAGAATCTCGAAATTTGTTATCCTGATTCTCTGGCGCAATATAAAAATTAATTGTAGTGAATTTCCAGAATTAATTTTTACACTTTGAGAGAACTAGGGTAATAAACTTAAACAGTCGAGATTCTCGAGTCTACTGTTGAGATTATGATAATAAATAGATACTTGAGCTAAATGCTAATTAGGCTGGAAACAGACCATGCGTTGAAGATTGAGATTAAAGATTGAAATTTCACCAATGAGGACAAAGAAATTTTACTCCTTTTGTTCTGATTGGTCAAATATTAATCTTCAATCTCATTCTTCAATGCGTAATCTGATTCCAGCCTTAGGGGATGCGCATAATCAAAGGAATAGGGAACAGAGAATAAGAATTTCAATCTATCAAAAACCATATATTGTGGAATATATAGTTTCTAATTTGAAATTCTTATTCTCTATTCCCTATTCCTTTGATTGTGCGCAACCCCTTATATTTTTAATTATATTTTATTTGGATAATTGAAAAGTGAAAAATTTATTTAAATCATTAAATCATTTTTATAATTAAATATTGTATTATTTACAGAATGCCATGCAAAGAAAAATTCACTTCTAAAAACAAACATTACGTTAATGGAAAGAAAGATATTCTTACAAATTCTTGACAAATATAAAAATATTATTGAAATAAAAAGAAGCGATGTAACAACATTGAAAGATAAAGATGTTGCGTGGAGCAAAATTTGTGAAGAATACAATCAGTCATCACTTATCTGTTAAGAGGTAAAAGCTATAATTTAGAATATAATATTAGAAATGAGTAATCAAGTAACATCGTTACAAGTAAGGAGTCATGTTTTTAAATTTTTTTATAATAACGATTTATCAATAATGTTATAATCTTTCATAATAACGGAAATGGTTTGTTATTTGGTTGAAGATCAAGGTAGATTAAGGTTGAAGTTATTTTTTAATAAGTAATTTTGTTATCATTATGTGTTATGCATTGAAACAAACGTTTATTTAAAGTAAGAAGTAACAAGTCAAAGTAATACATTACTTTTACGTTAAAGATATTTTTTCAATGAGTTAATGGTAAAACGTAATAGTAACGAATTATTTATCAAAAATAACTACTATGATATCCTGTATCTTATGTGAACCTCAATCAAAGATTCTTCATATTCAAGTCATTAGAAATACGGTATAAGAAATAGAACCTCGTTATATACATCTTAAAACACATGTCTTTCGATAAAGCACTCAGTGCGAAATGCTTTATTGAAGACATGTGTTTCATCATGTTAAGATGTATATAACAAGTTCTTGCTTCTTATATCGTATTCTCGATGACTATCGTTTGAATATGAAGAATGCTTGACTGAGTTTCATAAGACACAGGATTTCTACAATATGGCTTGATTTACAATTTGAGAAAGTTTGTATGTGCTGAAGAAGAATCCGAAACATTCACATTGTATATATAAATACAGAGAAATTATATTATTTGTAAGTTCCTTTTTGCTCGATTACGGACTATTATATTACATTATTTGCTTTGCATAAAACGAGCAAACGTTAATTTAAAATATTCTTATTGGTAAAGTAGTGAAAAGTTACTAAAAACCGGCCGATGTTTGTAGATGTGTGTTATTGCACTTTGCTTAACTATTGCTAACGGGACCCTCCCCATGTCTCTTGTCTTATTTTGCTTAAAAAGTCTGAAAAATTTGATAAAAAGTGATAGAAATCTATAAAAATTTGATAGAAATCCTATATGATTTTATCTGAACCTATAGATTTCCATCATTCCTTATTGGACTTTTTAAGCAAGGTAGTCATAACGTCTCCTTCATAGGATTCCGTTAATTTAAAATAATCCATAATTATATATAATTATATATAAAATATGTATTATACATAATTGTATTTAATTACATATACAAAATATATTTTCCGGGGTGATTATAGAAAACTGTGCAACAGTTAAAAAAATTGTGGCAAATTTGAAGCCAAACAGGTGCCTTAACTAAAGAAAAGCAAGCGCGTTTAGCAACTGGAGAACCACTAGAACTAGAAGCAAGTTGATCCTGACATCCTCAATATTACATCACATCTAATAGAAACTGTTCAGTATTATTCACGTCAAATATGTCTGAAAAAGAAATTGAAGGTAAATCTAAAATTAATTGTCTATTAAATCTTAATTATATCTGTTGATATTATTTCTAATCTAGATCATATGTATTGATTTATATCTCTATTGGATTTTTTGTAATATCAAATGTATTTTAGTCGTATTTTATTAACATTTATCTACGCATTTCAGATAAACGCGAACTTACAATCGATATAATATCTAATAACGAAAACGTAATTATATTAGATAACACATTGACAAATAATGACAATAATGCAAAAATGATTGATTCACGAGATATTTATTCCATATGTTTAAATGCTACTGTAATGTAATACTTTTTTTATCTCATAACATATTTGCCTAGTTTCAGCGATGTATTCAAAGAATGATGTACTAAATTAGTACAATATGCAAATGATTAATTAGGTACACATATCGTATATATGTTTGCACGTATCGCCGAAATTAAGATCATTTAATCGAAAGTTACTAGTTAGTACCTGTATCAAGTGCACGATGTATTATAATTAGATGCATTATAATCAATTTTCATTAAAATTAACTGTACCATCTTTCTGAACAATATAAAAATGAATGTTTCCTTATATCTACTTTATTAACTTTTTTCTATGCATTTTAGACCACAGTTTGATGATTTTATATCTATCAATAAAAATAAAATAGACAAAGCAAACAAAGAACATTTGAATGATAATAATGTAATAAGTGTTGATTTATAAGGTATATATTACGTAAATTATATTTAAATGTAATTATATCTTATATTCCTTTATGCATGTACAAAACACATATAATAACAAAATTACTTTTTTGTTTTACAGATATACTTTTAAGGAAATGTTACAAAGAAATCTCTCTCTCTCTCAAACATTCCAAATGTACAAAGTAAAAAGAGAAAACTTCAAAAATTGTCAGATATAGAAAATAATTTACGAGTACAACATATTTAAGAAATTATAAATCAAGAGCAAGATAGCGACTATTAAAATAAGACATAAAGGCTGATTCGAAATCATCGTTAAGTTCAATGTATTTTCGGGGCAAGTAAACAGCTCATCGACATTGAGCCATCACCGTTCAAAACACGAGTATATCTCGCTCCTGTTCTAATCACGCTATCTATCTTAGAAGACACGCGATCCCCGAAAAGCTGACTATCGCGCACACGTTCCGTGTGTGTGTGTGAATGTTCAGTTCGCTTCCTGATTCCGATCAATAGGGATCATCCATCGATATTTGTTCTTAACTTATCTTATCGAACATTAATTGCGAACCAAACTGACTTGTCGTCGCGTATTGTGTCACGTAACGTTACCGATATACGCGTATCGCGAGGGCATTCAGTGAGAATTACGAGATTTGCCGATCTCGTTGCTGTTCGCCATCTACGTTCCTTTTAACGGCTGCGAGAAGTTACTCGAACCAGGTGCGAATTACCTGTGCATGCATCGAACCGAACGCATCAATTATCGGATTACGAGTACCGTCTACCGCCCGCTTCGAAAAAATCTTAATTCAGCTCTATAATAAAATTTAACTTATTACACCCAAGAGAGTTGTTATTATACGCCGCCTTGACGAGCGAATCTTCCATACAAGGTGATACCAGCGTGCACACAAGCACAATACAAAGACAATATGAATAAAATAAAAAAAGATCATTTAAAACACTTAAACGAAATGGAAATACTACATAAACAAGAAATAAATAAGTTGGAAATGGAAATTAACAAAACAAAATTAAAGATTTAAAAAAATCAATATTTGAACAAAGAAAATATTAATTTACAATTGTAAAATTTTTCCTAGGATGAAAATGTGAAAAGTGAAATTTTTTTCCATTAACTTCAGTAGTAACAATTTCCACTTTTTACATTTCCGCTTTAGGAAAAATCTTACTTTGATCCAGTATGCTAACAGTTTTCTTTGAGGATGTTATGATCAATACTTGCTCTTTTTCTTTTTAATGTTTTAAAATTTAAAACATGTTTTCACAAACATGTTTTCCAACATTTATACTTTTAGGCTTGAAATCGAAATATGTCAATGTTCTTGTCTATTGCCATTCTTACTTTAGTGCTGTTTTGTTGTAGCGCGACGCTCAGTCTTAGGATTAATCGTTAAAAAATATCTGAATGTATAATTTACTATGTTAAAAAGTATATTTTGTTATTATTATTATTATTATAACAAAAAATGTGATACAAATGTACACATTTTTAAAAATTAAATATATTTAAACACAAATATATTTAATTAAAGTTACAAAACGGCTTCATTCTTTCACTTACAACATGACGAAATTTCCGTTCTTCTCAGATTCTTTTAAAAGAATTTCAATATATATAATATTATATATCTGAGTAT